AGTGTCTTAACGAATCTTGTGTATACAAAAAGTGGGATGGGGACAAAGTGGCATTTTTGATCTTATATGTAGATGACATACTACTCATATGAAATAATATGGGCATGTTGAATTCAGTTAAGCAGTGGTTGTCCACACATTTTGATATGAAAGATTTGGGAGAAGCGGCTCATATCCTTGGGATCAAACTATTGCGAGATCACCAGAAAAGGATATTAGGCTTGTCCCAAGGTCTTTATATTGATACAATACTCTCCAGGTTTAGCATGCATGATTCCAAGAAAGGATTTCTTCCTTTCAGACATGGAATTTCTCTATCTAAAGATCAGTCTCCTAAGACTGATGAAGAGATAGAAAAGATGAAAGCGGTCCCTTATGCATCAGTTGTGGGGAGCCTCATGTATGTTATATTATGCACTAGGCCTGATATCTGCTTTGTCGTTGGCGTTGTTAGCAGATTTCAGTCTAATCCTGGGAAAGAGCATTGGACGACGGTTAAACATATAATCAAGTACCTGAAAAGGACTAGGGATTACATGTTGATCTACCATTCGGATGACCTGGTGCTTATTGGGTATACTGATTCAGATTTCCAATCAGACAGAGATTCTAGAAAGTCTACCTCAGGTAATGTGTTTACTCTTGGAGGTGGAGCCATAAGTTGGAGGAGTATCAAGAAAACTTGTGTTGCTGATTCCACCATGGAAGCCGAATATGTGGCAGCCTCAAAGAGGCAGTTTGGCTCAGTAACTTCCTGAGAGAGTTGGGTATGGTTCCCTCGATTCAAGCGCCAATTACGCTTTACTGTGATAATAGTGGTGCGGTTGCAAATTCAAAGGAGTCACGAAGCCATAAGAGGGCAAAGCACATTGAGCGTAAATNTCACGAAGCCATAAGAGGGCAAAGTATATTGAGCGTAAATATCATTTAATTCGTGATATTATGCAGAGAGGGGATGTAGTGGTCACCAAGATTGTGTCATAGAACTACTTGGCAAATCCGTTTACTAAGAGAAGGAATGGGTGTCAAAATTGTAGACGCATGGTTATTAGTCTAAGTGGGAGATTGTTAGAATATACTATAAGCCATGCGTATTGTTATAGTATTCTTTATGAACAATTATTTATTTACTTGTTTAAATTCAATAAAGTTTCATTTAAATAGATCATGTATTGGTTTGTGCGTCCATTGCTTACATAGTAGATGATTTAGTGTATAGAGTTTAGCTTATACACGGAAGATTAAATCATCGGTTCTTGTAAGACATAAAAGTTAATGTTCACAATCTAATGATGGAATTGGACAAATCATCGGAATGATTGTAGCACAAGATTAAATATAATTTATCTTGATTATGGGAATGGTTTAATTCCAACTTCTTGTGCTAGTACATTTTGTATGTATTGAACGGATCAAGTAGAGATGAGTATTTTATACTGACTTTATAAAATAATTTCTCTAGTCCATTTAATGTACTTATACTCTTAATCCTGATATAATTATTATTAGCTGTGTATGTCACTTGTTGTTTTGATTTATTAAAAGGCGAGATTCTTTCGCGAGTCAATAAGCCTGGTAAATTGGATAACAATGATATACATTGGCGAAGTAATAATTAGTTGATGGAATCCATGTCTCGATTTTGAGATTGATGATACTCCTTTATGAAAGCTTATAAGTTTTCATGTGTAAACCCGGCCGGTGGATTTTGTATCCGACACATGAAATAAGTTAAGTGTAAGTCTAAAGGAAGTAATCAATAAATTAAATAGTCAGTAATTTAATTTGATTGATTAGTATCTGAATCTTAACATGGGGAGTTAAATAAGGTTTTATGGAAGAATTTCGAAATTGAACTAAGGAGTGCAATTACGAATTTTTAGTGGAATAATTCGTAATTTATTATGATGGAAATTAATTTTAGAATTTCGAAATTAATATCATAATAGGAAGCCTTGTTAATTAAATTCTGTGGTCCCTATTGTGCCTTAATAATAGAAAATAGTGGAAATTGTTACTTAGTGGGAGAAGGAAACCTAACAGGTTTTGAAAACGGTTTTGGCCTAAAAACGCATCTATATATATGGATATAAGGGCTGGACATTTGGGGTATGATTCCGACTGCGGTTTCTACTAGAATTTTGCCCACCCAAAATTCTCTATTTTCGGTTATTGTTTGGGTAACACAGTAGAAGACTGTGAAAATCTGCTGGTGTGCGGTATCAACTGAGGACCTGGAGAACGACATAGATTTGTTGTGTTTACGCTTCAAGAGGTAACCCTAAAATCTCCATACGTGCTAGTTGTTTAGATTACACGTGAATAAGATTCTGTTATTGCTTCCGCTGTGGTATATATTCCATCACGACCATGGTAATATTATCTCATATGGCATATTACTGCGGTAGATGCCACGTGGCGTGCCCCCTCATCATCAGTGGCGGAGCCAGAATTTTTATTAAGGGGTGTCAAAATATATAAAAGTAAACATACGAGAAAATTAAGGGAAGTCAATACATAGTATATATACATATAAAATTTTCTTTTTGAAATGGTGTGGTTTGACACCCATTCCTATAAGGTGGCTCTGCCACTGCTCATCACACCTATCCCATTTTACCCCTCCCCTAAATTCTTCTTCTTCCACCACCACCTCCCTCTTCCCCCAGCCATCGCCAACATCATCCCCTCCTTCACCACGCATCTATTCTTCCACCACTATTAAACACTAGTCATGACACCATTAAACCACCATTCTTTCACCAAAAAACTGATTCAATAATTTGATTTTATGAACTGCACTTAGCTCAGAAATAGATAGATATAACCTATAAGGAGGAAAAGTTGATCAAATGGATTTCATTCATATCAACGCAACTACTACTAAATGAATTTATATTAAGGAACAAAGAGAAAATACTAACCTTCGTCGTGATGTTCACCATTAATCTGGTCTTTGACAGAAAGGGTGTATTTTGCCTTAACCCTTTTCCGGCAACCAAATCCCTCAGCATCAACTGATGTAAGATAGATAGAGATTCTTTGGTCCTTTGACAACAAACACCGTTAGGATAAAGCAGAATTTTCCTGCATCCAGACATAAGAACGTCTATTTACTCAAACACCAAACTGAAATAGTTAAACAAAGAAGAAAATATATAACGTATATGAATACATCAATCAAGGGTGGATTCAGCCCTTCGGTACCAGGTTCAACTGAACCAATAGAATTTAAATCCTTAATCCGCCTCTGACATCAATGACATACCATTTGTAATCCCCAACAGTAAACTCTTTAGACAAACAAGACTCCCCTAATTTTGAAAACTCATAGATCTTCCATTCATGCTTATTAGTCTCGATGTCTTCCAACATCGACACACATTCACCAACTCCTTGGCTCTTGACGACGAATACCTCAGCTCCGATAATGATACTGTCATCGACAAGGTATCCATTGGACTGCTCTTTCAGTGCTTTGTGAGAGATAAGCTTGGAGAAACCCCATTTGCAATTGACCTTGTGAAATCGCCACACTTGACCTGAAGCAATAAATCATATATAATCATTCCTATACATTGCATCACAAAAATCTTACGTCCGAGTTCAGATGGAAAAATTTCGAACATAGAAGTTCCAGAGAATGCTCTATATCGATCAAAAGGAAAAGGAAAAAAAACGAATGTAAAGTAGAAGAAGGTAAGCCGATATGTATCACGTATAACAAGATAGTTGTCACAAAGTTGATTAAACAGAAAGAAGCTAAACACAGCATTAGCCTCCCAACCAGCAGGTAAGGAGCTGTCATTCGCAATGGCCAAGTAGACGGAGATGTAATCGTTTCCCTCTATGTTGTCATCCCCTTTGGGATAGATGATCAACTTCCTGCACCAAGTCCGGCAACAATTAATTTCCATAAATTCATATCATGGTACATGAAAACGACGACATTGTGGGAAATGCGACATCAAGATTGTGCACTAATCAAGTCTAACTTCTATTTTTAAATATAAAGCGCGTATTGAGTTGACTTGTAGTGGATCGAATAATAGTTATTCATTATTATACTCTTAACTGACAAATATAATCTTAACCTATGTTGATCGGACTCTCCTGGATGCCTGTCGGATCCTGCAAAATTAGCGTAATTTTGGAGGATCGCACAAGGGTGCGGCGTCATTTTGAAGAATCTGTACAACGTAGATCTTAACCTGATTTCTTAGATTCATGTCTAGAATTACATAACTATTTCTTCATATGATGAGAATTCCGCCAACCACACAATCAAATACACTACAAATGCAATATGAGTAATCTGTATGAGTAGCAACTAGTTTTAACTTTCAAGAATGATGCACTCCTGCGATTTGGATGCTAAGTATAATTCTTTAATTGATTCTCCATCGCGTATTTAGGAATAGTGCTGCAAGTATGTCTACAACTTTTTAAGTGAACTCATCAACAAGGGCGGACCAAGCTTAGAAGTTATGAGTTCACGTGAACCAGTAGCTTTTGTCCAGACCCTAGAAATTCACTAAAAATTCTTGTTCGGGAGAAATGCGAGGGAAATTCAAAAGAATCGAGAAAATAACAATGGATGTATCATTACCATTTATAGCCCCAGGCTTCAAATTCATTTGATTCATACATGTCAATATCATTCTCTGATAGTTTGTAAAAAGATTCAAACTTCATCAAGTAGTGTGATGGGGATGCATCCCTAATTTCCACTGTAACTTCTGCGCATTTTCAAAGATCAAAGAAAATCACAATCCAACATGAAAAACAAGAAACACATCTTCAATCCCCTCCCCCCCCACCACACACACAATATATATATAAGAAACTTTTCAATTTTAAAATATTACTTTTGGTTCTCCTGCTTGGAGATATAGCGCTCCCTAGCAAGGGTATTTCATTCTCAAAATTTGAACCCCAGAATTCATTAAAGATGGAGAGCAGAGGTGGAGCTAGGATTTTAACTTTATGGGTTCTGGATTTAATATACGACTTTAAGTGTTAGTTAAAGGGTTTTAAATTTAATATTTCTACATATTTGATGAATTTTAAGCACCAAATATGGCGTTTGAGCAAAAACTAATGGGCTCCCATAACTCATCAGTGTGTGTGTAAATTATCTTCCTCTTCACAAGGAATCAAAGCAATTTTTGGGAAACTTTGCCTTTATTATTAGGCACGTCACTCCTCTTATTTCTCCTTTATTTCCATAAAGCAATACTGCATGCTGGACAGCTTGAAGTCATTCCTCACGGTTTAAGATTAAACTACTCAATTTGCATGATTAATGCAGTACAAAAAAAAAAAAAAAAAAAAAAAAAAAAAAAAAAAAAAAATTTTTTTTT